TTGGTATATCATTGATTCTCAAAGTTACTATTTGTRGAAATGAAAATGATCACAAAAATTAGTGAATAGCCTGAAATATGTATCTTCATATATCCTTTGAGCTTTGTTACCCCTTTCTGCTTAGCCTCATGAACCATCTCACTTGCTTTACATAAAATGATACTAAATAAATTAATAACTAAGTATAAGCTTCAATGCCTTTGAGACACAATGGCTACATTCATATTTTTTTCTCTCTATCCTAACCTTGCAACCTTTGTTCTTCCCTCTCTCATTCTCTTAGTTGAGAAGAATTAGTTTAAACATAATCTATGGCTCATGAAACAAGATAGGCACTGATCTTCCCATGGACTTCTTTTATGTATTAAATTCAAGAAATTATTTTCATACAACATAACACCTATGAACCYATCAAGAAATAAGGCAAGAACTAGAGAAGTACCTAACTGGTATCTGAAAGGAAAGTGAAGAATTGGGAGATGGGTGAGTGAGAAATAAAATATGGAGACCAGGCAGAGATACACACCAGAGTTTATTTGTCAGAGCTGACAAATAAAGGCACGTCTCTCCATAGACAGAGAGAGGCAAAACAGGCTTGAGTTCTGGGACTTTTATGGAGCAGGCTCAGAGATTAGAGCCAGGTAAAGGGTTGGGTTGTTATAAGGGAGTGGTAAGTCTTTCTCAGAAAGGCCCTTGGGCTGGAAAGCAAGACTTTTTCTTATTATGGTAGCTGTCACTTAAAATGGCCATCAGATGCTAAGCAAGGACCTTACAGTATCTACCTATGCATATGTTCGTATTTTGATTCTCATGACATTGTGTACATTCTTAATGGGTGATGATCTCTCCCTTGCTTTTCTATTTCTTGTTTTTGGTCGCATTCTCCAACAATGCAATGAGACAGAATAAATCTTCCTATTTACCTAGTTAGTATATTAATGAATTCATTGGCTAGTAAATATTTCCACTTTTTATCTGAAATCAATATTTAAAAATAACCAAATCTTAAAATATCTAATTAATCTTCCATTTAAAAAAAAAGTCAAAAATGACATGGACTTGAAATCTGGAAGTCCTCTCTGACTCCATCCTAGAAAACGTTTACAGTCCTGACCTGAAGCARCATAACTTGGATCTATTATCTGATTGATTTCCTGAGAGATTTTTACCTCAGGATTATTACCCATTCCCTAGGTAAATCTGAGACTACAAAGACACAGGTTTAAGAAAAGAACAGCACAAAGCTGCTTGGTTTTCAGGAACCAGAACTTTCTAAAGGGGCACATCATATACAGGACCTTAAGAACAATGTGACCTTCAATGCTGCCAGGGYAGTTGATGTTACCATCGCAACCATACTTAAAGACCAGACTCTTTCAAGATCATGTAGAMAAGACCCAGTAKGGTTCTYCCTATGATGTCACAGAAGTATGMAGTTTGCTAGACTAAGAGAAGTTGTTGCAAAGCCTATCCAAATAATAAGAGTACACACAGGACTAACAGCAATCCTTTTCAGAATCCTGGGGTAATACRTAAATGTTATAATGTCTACTCAAGGGAAACTAACAGGTTTGGAAATGAGTAACCTTTAGTGATGAAGCATTAAAAAAGATTTAAAGTCTTTCTAGGTGGTGGAGKGTGGGGCTGAGCAGAGCTCCTGAAGGTTGACACTCATTTTCAGAAGTACTGACCTAAGAATTAGGTCAGTTTCCCTAAGCAGAATCTGAGAGGGCTATTCAGCTGCAAATGATTAATGGAAGGCGTGTTCGTTTTTTAATATTTATTTTTTAGTTGTAGTTGGACTCAATATCTTTATTTATTTTTATGTGGTGCTGAGGATCGAACCCAGGGCCTCGCACGTGCTAGGCGAGCGCTCTACAGCTGAGCCACAACCTCAGCTTGGAGGGAGTGTTCTTAATAGAAAAATTAGGAGAGAGAGGAACAGAATAGGGAACAAATAGACTTGAGTCAGGGTCTCAGGTAAACTTGAACTTTGGGCTGACCTCCACTCCCACCTACAGGAAGGGGTGAGCTCTAGCTTAGAACATTCATAACAGCTCAGTGGTATATCCCCAAAGACTCCATTACTGACCACTTTTATGGGYTGGGAATGGGGTCCTACCTCTAAGCCTTTCCAAGTGAGGGGCCTCACTCAGCCCAGAGMAGCTGGCCAGAGGATGTCACAGTGAAGCCATCAGCTGCAGCCCTGGCAGGGAGCAACAGGACTTGGGAGAGGAACCCACAGCGTCTCTACCATGCTAATACTCGCAAACCTAAYACTCTAATACCTTCAGCTCCAGTAMCTTAGATGCTCACTGCTTTTTCCCCCTACCAACTCACCCTTCTCTCAACAGAGTGAAGAACAACAAAAAAAGAGCCCAAGACTTTTAAACAGTGATATAGTACATTGAATCCAACAGTGAATCTGAACTTGACTCCCTGAACAGTAATAAATTCCATGTACCCACTAATAGGATTTGACTTGAAAGACACTTTACCTCTGTGATTTTCTTTCCAAAAAGCCATAACCCCTGACTAATTATGAGAACATATCAGAAAAAAATCTAGACTGGGAACATTGGACAGAATTCCTAGCCAATACTCCTCAAGATTAATAAAAGAAAAGAAAAACAAGGAGAGCCACAGAAACTGTCACAGACCAATGGAGACTGGGGAGACAAGACAACTCAATGTAATTTGATACCCTGAATTAGACCCTGGAACAGAAGGAGGGAGTTAATGGAAAAATCAGTGAAATGAAAATAAAGTCTGCCACTTGGTTAATTGTAATCTGTAATGTTGGCTTCTAAGTTTTGACAAATGTACCCCTAGTAAATTAAGGTGTTAGATGTTAACAATAGTGAAACTGATGTAGGGTGTACAGAAATTCTGTCCAATCTTTGTGATTTTTCTCTGACACTAAAATTATGCCCAAATGAGAAATTTTTAACACTCAAATAAAAGTCACCACCACTAGCAGCAGCCAACCGAGCAGCTGCCCTATGGTTGTCTTCTCATTGCATCAGTCTTGGTATTATWTTAATTAAGGAACATCAGAGTCACACCATATTTGAATCATCCTAACTTCCCCTACTTTGGCCTCTGAGTCAATTGGGAGAAAAAGAGAGAAATGAGAGGAGAAGAGAGAGGAGAGAAAATGTTAACCCCAAGAGAATTATGCAAATTGGCTAGGGTAGCTAGTTAAGATGGCGGCAAGAGCAAAATGGGGCCCCATAGTTTCAGAGAGCTGTTCCCATGATCCCAAATCAGCACCCATATCACCCCACTCAGGATTTCATCACTTCACATCTAAACCACTACGCTGGCCCTCAGTCCTGGCACCTGAAACTCTCCACCATTGCAAACACCAACTCAAGATTTGTACTCTTTCATTTAGGATTCGCTCTTACTCTCATGATGTTGAGTTATGCTACCTGCATAGAGTCTGTGATTTCTCAGCTCATAAACTGTGTTCTCTTATTGTAATGCTCTCCCACACAATATTTACTCATTAAATTCTGTCTTGTTCAAAAGTCCCTTGTGGTTCCAGGAAATCTGCCATGATCTGCAGAGATGAAAGGGATTCCTCCCTTCTTTAATCTTCTTGAACACCTGTCATTATCGTGGTATTTGCCTTATCTGCCTTACAAGATTGTAAACTATTCCAAGACAAGTCCACACTTTCTCATTTTCCTATTTCTCACAACATTTCTGTGGAATTAAGCTTTGCATTCGGTAAGGCATTAGAGAGATTTATTGCTTGATATGGCCCCAATTCAATTCAGCTCAGCAAATGTTTTTGAATGCCTAATCTATGTAGATACTTAGACTTGTTCTCTTTCTAGGTTACCTTAGGTTTTTTTTTTCAGTATTTTTTCTTAGTTCAAATAATATTATCTAACAGTTTGAAACACTTTTTCTGTATAGAAGGCCAAATGCTATATACTTTATATAAATTATCTTATTTAATTTTCACACAACCCTACAATGTAGATTCTGTTATTAGCTACATTTGTAATATGAGGTTACTARAAACAAGGCAGATTAAAACTTAGCCAAAGTCATTTAAGTTGGAGTTTAATTGTCCCCATTATGATATACTGTCAAGTTCTGAATGCTGACAAGTCTGCAATGTTCTCATCAGATCTAAGCCTCAATGATTCCATCCTGGCTGAATGCTAGTTTCCCTGCAGAATATTAATAGTGAAATGAATGGAATCAATTTTATTAGATGATAAATACTAAATTCCACCTACCGTGAATGATTATAGCCATCCTTTCATTGAAATTATTTAAAAGCAGAGCCAATTTCCCTGCTTTCCCTACTACTAGGGAATATGAGTTGACATAACCTTTCCAGAAAGCAATTTGGCAATACATAGGATGACACTGTTTCAAGAGTGCATGACCTTTGGTCCAACATTTCTAGTTCTCAGAATTTTCCTTTAAAAACCAATTGAGGATATGTGCAAAGATTTAAAGACTAGGTTTGCACATTAGCACTATTTAAAATGGCAAGAACTTGAGAAAATCTAAATGCCAAACAAGATGAGATATTATTAACTAAATTATAGTCCATCCATACAAAAGAACACTAAGTAGGCATTAATGTTATTGAGTAATATGCATTGGCATGGAGGAATGATATTATAGGTTAATTTTTTAAAGCAAATTATGAAAGGGTATGTATAATATTTTTCTAAAAGATTCACATATTATTCAATAAATAATATATTTAAGCTGGGGATGATGGTAATGCATGCCTCTAATGCTAGCCACTTACTAGGCTAAGGCAGAAAATTCCAAGTTCAAAGCCAGTCTCCGCACTTTAGTAAGACTCTGTCTCAAAATAAAAACTAAAAAAGAAGGGTTTGGGCAAACGTAAACATACCAGGAGTTTCCCAGACCCAGGTTCTGGCTCCTGCTTGGGATCGCCAAGCCTTGGCGAATCCTTGCAGCCAACCTGAGTCAGAGGAGGCGTCAARCTAGTCTGACGGACAGCAGGTGTGATCAGCACTGAAAAAGATGCCAGCACTGGCTACCACATACGAAAGAATAGTTTACAAAAATCCCTCTGAGTACCACTACATGAAAGTGTGCCTGGAATTTCAAGATCATGGAGTTGGTCTTAATGCTGCACAGTTCAAACAGTTGCTTATTTCTGCCCTAAAGGACCTGTTTGGGGAGGTTGATGCTGCCTTACCTGTGGATGTCCTGACCTATGAAGAGAAGACCTTGTCAGCCATCCTGAGAATATGTTGCAGTGGTCTAGTCAAATTGTGGAGTTCTTTGACCCTGTTAGGATCCTACAAAGGCAAAAAATGTGCTTTCAGAGTGATTCAGGTCTCTCCATTTCTCCTCGCGTTATCTGGTAACWGTAGGGAATTAGTATTGGATTGAATAGTCTTCAATTTCAGAAACTTTCCTCTGCTCTCAAAAGTACTTTTTGGTGGCTGCATACTTTGAAAACAGAAGCAGGCTAGAAGCTCCCATGGATGAAATATGAGGATGCTGAAGATGTTCCCAGGAATATCCAGCTAATGCCTTCCATGGGGTGGACTTCAAAGGAGATTCTGCCTGAGTCAACCAGCGTGGAGCAAACAGTTCCTGAAGCATGTGCACTTGAGGGTTGGGGACCGGGCTGAACTCAGCAGGGCCTTCACACAGAGGGAC